CAGTTTATAGAAGACAGACAATCACTGGACACACACACACACGCATTCCCCAGAGACAAGAGGAAAGAAAGAAGGGAGGAAAATGATAATAATTCAGAAAATTAGTGATCGAGAAAAGAATTAGATTCATTTCTTTTTTTAATGAAAAGTATCAGAATCTTGATAAGCTGCTTTCAAATATGAAGCCCTTATAAGAAATATTTCCTTCCTGTGTACAGGAAAAGACTGTTAGCATTTTAATTTTGGTTTAAATGTGATAATTCACAATAAACCATAAGCACATCCACACTTAATGTGAATTTCAAGCTTTATTTTCTTGCCTTTAAACAAACAAAAAATAAAATGTCTCTCCAGGACCTGAAGTATCTTGTAAAAATGGACCTTCATATTCAGCATAATAACAACATAAAACGCCACATGTACGCATACAGCTGTGTATCCAAAACCCCCCTCCCCGAGGTCAAGAGGAACCCCACCTACCCCCGCGCCTCGTCCTTGTCACATTGCCCACAGTCCTTGGGGACTGAGGCAGTGCCCCGGGGCATGGACGCAACCTCTCCTTGACCTCCCAGTGTGCGGGTGACCTTCCTGTGACGTGTGAGGGTTAGCTTTTATACACGGTGCCGGGGTCAAAGGCAACAACTGAGAGGAAAGAGGCTGAAAGGAGGAAGGCAACGAGAGGGAGGAGGCAAGGGTTGGAGTAGAGAAAGCGATTGGGACAAAGAGCCGAGAGCAGCAGTTTGTGTGTGTGTGTGTGTGTGTGTGTGTATGTGAGAGATAGATGGATGGGGGGGGTTTGAGGAAGTTAACAGTTCATCCAAAATGTCTCTCACATTCTGCATCACAGTTATTTTTTTCTTGCTTTTCTTACTTTCTTTGTCAACAGGAAGGCTGCAGGGCTGCAGGGTACAATTGGGGTGATAATGCAACACACACACTCTCTTTCAAACACACTAACACACACACATGCTTGATAGCACATATTGCCAGGAAGGCGTCCGTGACTTTTTGCACATCTACGGCTGGTGTTTTGATTCAGTGTGCGTGTGTTTGCAAGGGTGATAGACAGAGGTGTGAAGAGGTATAGACGAGGAAACCATGTCAACTGATTGCGGATATTTCTAGCTGCATCTTCTTATCTGCGTCAGTGTCGGTCTTCATCATCCCTTGTCTCAATCTAATGTTGCACACTCAACTGAAATTGAACCTTCTCTCCCCTCGCTGCTCTTCCCTCATCTGCTCTTCTCTCATATATAAATATTCTTAAATAAACGTTGATGTCTGGTTCAAAATAAGATGGCTGGATCAGCTCATTAATAGGATTTGGCACAGACCGGATCACAATGCAGATTTTGGAGCCTAAGCTATGTACTGAAATCGTTTTCCTGCTTACAGGCAACATAAACGTCACCACACGTACAGAGTTAACATCACACTTAACTCTGGCCTTGGCTGTACTTAACGTTAGCCCACAATCAGCTAGTAGCTACCTCCATTGGACACAACATGTTTTCTAAAGCTAAAAGTCAGACTGTGTGGCTATATTTCATTGCGGCACCAGAACGTGCAGCAAATGTTTCAAATGAATTCAGTGTAAAGGGAGGAACACAACAAACTTAATAAAGTATTTAAACTGGTAACTGTTAATTTGTTAAATTTCAACTTACAAAAGCTGCTCTTATGTCAACTCTAGTTTTAAGAAAAAAAAAAATCAGCTCTGGCATTGTTTACGCACCAATATCAAAAAAACCCCAAACAACCCTACCCACCCTCATCATTAGAATTCACAGTTTAATGCAGTTTGTATTTGATCACATTGATGTTTAATGTCACCTGCAGTCAACTTACTTTAAAAGGTTTATATATGAACTAACTGTGTGGGTCCGCCTGCAGTTTAAGATGTTTAAGACAGCCGGGCCTGTGGCTCTGTAATAACAGAGGGCAGAGCAGGTTGTTACACCTGTATGTTAATTCTGACACTTTGGTGTTTCCCTTGGCTCTGAGGTGAGTGTTAAGACAAACTAGAGTTTAATTACTGGCAAGGCGGTCACTCCCCATACATGGTACCCTGCACTGTAAATACACGAAGGAGGAAAAAGTGGATTAAGGTGTTAGGTAGCTCGAACTCTCTAGACCTTCTCAGTTCTTCTTGTATGACTCATATACCTCTTCTACACCAAAGATAACAGCTATATGCAGCTTTTAAAATATGTAGTAGAGTGAACGTAGAAAAGGCAATTGACTCCTTTCCTACTGCCAGTAGACAATTTTGTGTTTTTATTTTTTACAATTACTGAAAATTGTGAAGCTTTCTCACCTCGCTGTCTTGCCAGTGTTGCATCTTGAATGATACCAAAAGAGAAAATTCTGTTGCACATTATTCCCAAGACATAAAAAAAAAAAAATGTTCATGGCTCACCCTACCCCAAGTTACGCACCAATGCCCTTAAGTCCAATGCGCGTCATAACGTTGTGCCAGAAAAGGTGCAGCATCAGTGTCTAGACTGCTAAAATAAAGAAGAAGGAAAAGGTGCGTTCACCCGGGTGTCATGTTTCCGTCACTGCTGATCGGAGCTGATTAAAAACCTGTCTTCTGCGTCTACCCGGGTCATTTGACTGAATCAGATTGCATCTATTTCTATTTTTTTTTGACGAGTGGAAAAAGCTTAAGAGATCAGGAGTGAAATAATTTATTTATCTGACCTGCTTCTGTTTCAGTTTCTTCACCCTCCATTCATTAAGATCATTTCCTGTCTTATGCTGCCTTTACTACCCCCCCATCTCACCACATGCTGAGACTTTAGTGTTAAAATGCACTTTTATGGTTTACGCATTATTAATAATTTAGATTAATAGCATCAGGCAATATAAGAAGGCAAAACACATGCCAGAGGAGATGTTACCCACAATGGTTTTGTTCTATAATGACCAATCAATAACTTAATCAATCTGTCTGGGGAGAGGCTTGAATGATGATCAGCAATCAAGTCTTACCATAACCAGCACAGCATGACTTTATTGGTAACACGCTAATCGGTTTAAAAAGAAAAAGAATCAATCAGGTTTGTCTGATTGTCTAAAAGGTTTGTCAATAAAGCTAGTTTTGGTTGAGATATTGCTCATATTTGTGATTATATAGCGTTTTACATTTCAAATCGATCACGGTTTTCCAAAGCTATTACAAACAAATTGGTTTGTTCAGTCTGCAACACTTTTACAGTCACTTATAAAAACTGCAACTTGTGAGCAAACACCCAAAAAATCCAAACAGAATTTTTCATCCTCGACGGCCTTTTATAAATCAAACTTTGCGGTCCTGATTGTGTGGAGGGAAATCGTCTATCTGCGAGTGCAGGAAACACACCGAGGCTTTTAACGACTGGGGAGACGGACCGCGTGCTTCTCACTGGCACGCTATAAAATAAAAATGAGTGTTTGGGAGAATGTGCGAAGAGGTGAGAACCAAGCCGATCACCTTGACTGAGAGGAAAAATATCCTGTTACCAAGACAACTTGCCTCTAAACACCTACCGCTCCTCATCAGAGAAAAGGAGCTTCACGATTTCGACAGCCAAACACTTTCCGAGCTGCGACACTGAATTTGCCACCATGAGTTTGTATCACCGCCACACGAACACATCCTACATCCGCGCATGCCTTTGTGCCTGTGTGTGCGTTTTGCATTCAGAGCAGGAGCCTGGAGTCATTCCCCCTGGAAGTGTAGCATAGTTGCGGCGACACTAAATACTGTCACCATTGTAGCTCCTGGTGCCACCAATCTCTGCGTCGAACCTCAGAGAGAGGCCCTGCGATCGTCTGAATGGGACGATGAATGGTCCTTTGTCTGCAGGCCTCGTGTCTGAAGTGCAGCCGTGGAGGCTCTGACACACAAAGACGCACACACACTGTTGTGTCACCCCCCCCCTGTCCGTCCGTCCGCTGGACAGTTGTGATACGGTGGAGGCCAGACTGAAACATCACAGCAGTGTTTCATTCACATTGCATTAAGTGAAGCATTTACAAGCTCTCACACACACACACACACACACACACACACACACACACACACACGTAGATGCACATATACGACCTCAGGAGATGGATAATGAGTGATTTTAAAGAGGTGAGAGATGGTCCAACCCACACACTGTCATTATCATATATATTGTATTGGCATTTTACTCATGGCTCAATGTCACAAAAAGGTACATATTTAATGAAAAGCATGGCTCGTGGGTGAAGAGGACCAGAGTGTGTAACACATCTGATCACATTCAGCATGTTATCATTGTCATAAAGGAGCAGTAATAAACATTGTTACCTCAGGGAGACATAAAGATGCTTTAATGGTAATTGAACCCTTCACTACAAATTTCATTTTTAACATGGGTTTAGAGGAATACTGTTATTTTCTTCAGTGTAACAGTATAAAAATCGAATCGTGATAAAAACGACAAATTAAAAGACCTTTCAGATAGAACAGGATTTGTGCTCCGCTGGCCGCGGGGTGCAGAACATACAAGGTTCTTTTGCTGAACACATTTTCAGCAAAACCTACGACAAGCTACAGAAATGTGTTGACATACACAATATGCTTACTTCACTGGAAAAGTAAAAATGTGTAATGGCTTTCCTTCTGCGACATAGGCTACGTGTAAACACACCTTTGTACAGGGAGAGGCAGAAATAAAGCTAGTGTTTATTTCTCTGTCAGAAAGTAGAAGGAAGGAAATCATGAATGCAGATACAGTGAATTCGGGGAAAGAACAAGTGTCTGCTGTTGTGATCCCGGCTCTGTAGGCACAAATTGTTTTTCCAACACAATGGAGCATTCAGCCTCAGACGGCATCATAGCCAGATAGATGTCGCCAAGCCTGCGACCCTCTGGACCGGCTGTGGTTTTGATCACAACGTGTTGGGGTGACCTACTGACCACCCGGCGACGGCACAAGACACAACCAGTCGAGGTGATTCTGTGCTCCTGTGACCCTATCTTGCAGAGAGAGAGAGAGAGAGAGAGACGGGTGAGCTGCAGGCTGCCGGGCTCCAGGGACTCTGGGAGCGGTGTGTGTGGGAGGACGTGAAACACACTCAGATTTTGGACAGCCAGTATTGTGTATTGTCCACCAGTTTCCCAAAAGGCCTGAAGGCAACAGAACTGTTTTTGTCATGTGAGCACACAGGGGGATGCAGGGAAGAGGATCAAAATGTCAGCAGGAAGTCTAGCTGTCAAGTGAAAAATCCAAAAACACCTGTTTGTTTTTATCTTCAACATCAATATATATTTAGTATTTCCTGTCGACGCGGAAAGTCCAAAAAACTTATGAATCAATATGTCTGCTTTGAAATAGGTGTATGTTGTGACTGCATGAGTGGAAAGATGATGTGATCATTTTTAACACTTTCATGCAGAAACAAAGACGTATGGGGGGGTGCATTCACACATGGGCTCACTGTCATTTTCTAGACATTTTATGAGGAGGCTGGTTGGACAAACTCAGGAAAATGTCCACAGCAACTGACTTGGACATTTGCATTCTTGCAAAATTTTCAGTTCATATCTGAAGCAGCTTTAACGTTTTAAGCCTCCAGGAAAACATCAGTGCTCTTTGCATAGATTCTCCAAATTCCAAGCATGTATGAACAGTTTAAAATGCATATACTTATATGAAAAAGATAAATGAGTCTCGATAACACCTCTTTGTATTTAAGTGGAGACGAGGCAAATGATTTGTGAGAATGAAACAAAACTTCACCTTTTAAATATTCATCAGCAGACAGCGTGCATATTTTGGTCATTGTAACTGCTTTCTTCCATATCCTTATATATCCTATATCTTTCCAGCTGTAGTTTCCTGTCTAAATATCTACACAGTTAATGGACAATAGAATAATAGAATTGAAGAATCGATCTCTCTTTGTATTCACACTAGTGCGGACACAGTCCCTGCAGCTCCACTGCTGCACTAAACTGCTTTGGTTTGGTTACTAGGAGACCAGAAGACGCCTACTGTAATATCTGTGTGTGCCTTTGTGTTTGTATACGTGTGTGCTTGTAGATGCCAAGCGTGCATGTCATTGTTATGTGCCAGAAATAAGGGGTGGGGAGAACAGCAAGCACAAAAAACAAGAAGAAAACAACTCTCTGTGTTGGATGAGACTTCAGAGCAACTCACCTGCTGGAGCGGCAACAGACAGAAATCATGAAGACGTTCTGAATAATTCACACACCAGCAGATTGTTTAGTGTTTATTAATTCCCTTTTTACTCTTGTTTTGTGAGCAGACTTCAAAGCTCAGTTCGTTTGAGCAGAAACATTGAAAAACTGATACACTTGCAAGAATACTCTGTTAGCTGAATTAACAGCGATCTAGGCCCAGTGTAATTATGCCGTCTGTTCTCTTTCTCTTGGCCTTGAGCCACAGCACATTCATTAACCAGTCTCTGTGCTGCTCAATATTACTATCATGTTGTACAAAGTCTCAGGCTGCAGGTAGAAATCAATCAAGTCGCCCACAGATAGTCAGGCCACAGGGGGATGACTGATGGACGTGAAAGTGAATTGTGTGTTTATCTGTATTATCAGATGAACCTGTCTGGCTGGTTGTCCTGCGTACTGTAACACACTACGAGTTATTGAGAGCTGGAACTTGAATAAGCAGATGAACGATTACAGCAAAAATCTGATCAAATTTCACAATCAAACCTTTTTTCTCACCTCTCAACAATATAAACCTGCTTTGAAATTCAACAGAGACATATGATGCTTTTTTCAGTTTTCCTTTAGTAAGTTTTTTACTTTTGCCAAAGAGGTTGTGTTTTTTGCCCCTGTCCATTTGTTTGTTGGTTTGTTTGTAAGACAGATTTCACAAAAACTAATTGACAATTTACCATGAAACTTGGTGGAAGGATGTATGGGTCAGGGAACAAGACATTAAATCTTGGTGTGGATCAGGGGCAGGATCCAGGATTTGTTTTTAAACTTTCATTTACAATGTCAGACAGGGTGTTTTTCAACCTTTTGATAGAAAATTCTACACAATTCTGATGTTTTTGTCTCCTCATTGGATGCATCAGTGGGAGTTTAAGTTATGGGCTTCATTCATGTGTTGTTTTATTTAACAGTGCACATTAATAATCATTGCTGTAAATGTGCCAGAGTTGGCAAACAGGCTATTTTTCATCTGTAGTCCCTGGACAGATGTTGCAGTCATCCCAAAATAGAATAA